GTTTTTAGTATTATAAACCTTGAACGTCCAGAGTTTGACTCAGAGCAATTATCAAAGTAACAGCAGAACGTAGAAATAGTTGACGCTACGAACCGAATCTCGATGTCAACTTGGCTTACAAGTACAACAATAGATAAAGAAGTACATAAAACGCAAAACGTATAATAATCCACTGAAACTTCGGACCAAACATGACTTTCATCCTTAATTCACCACAAATGCATAAAAATATATAAATCTGTTGAAGCTCACAATGTAAACCCACCTTTTAGTTTCTTCCCAATAACAAGAGGATGAAAATTTAACCTTGACTAAACTTTCAATATCCATATGTACAATATAGTTACCTCTTCCACCAGACAAATCGTAGATATTTCCTTCTAAAGCCCGACACCTCTCTTCTATTTCATTTTTCTCCTTCATTAATTTCTCATTCATCTCTCCTAGCCGCCTAATTTCATGTATAAAAGTTTTTTTGTCTTCCTTCAGTTTTTTGTTATCATTTACTACTTTTGTGTTTTCCATTTCAAGTCGTTTCCTTTGTCTGTCATGAATGCTTTCGGAGCGTTTGGAATGTGATTGCAATTCCGACATCCTAGATTTCAGTTTTTCAAGTTCTGAATGGTGGGCACAGTTTTGCCCCAAACAAATGGAAGCAGGTCTCGTTCTGACAGGTTCTTCTCCTTGTTCCACACGAGATTTCAGATGCTGGCTTCTAGCCTCAGCAAGTTGATAAAGTAACATGTCCTTTTCTTCAGTTAGAGATTTAACTAACTCGTTTTGTAACTGTACACTTTCATATAGTGCTTCTACTTGACCAGAAATCAAGTTCTATTAAAAGCAAAAATGAAACTTCTGTTGTAAATCAAGGTAGTTGTGTTACTCACCATGTGAATAATGCTATAGCATGGTCACTATTATTGATATTAGTCCATGTTTACATTATTTAAAAAGCTCGACAGAAGTACCATAACAATGCTTCAAGTATTAAAGCCATTCTGTTATTTCATATGTTGCTCAATATTTCACAATAAAACAGAATATATAAACGGTTTCAATAATATAGTATTAGGTATACACGAAGAGTGTTTGTATCCACATATACTCGTACCTGTGTTTGTGTCACTCTGTCTAAGCTGGATTGATTGGTTTTGCGGTCAACCACAGATTCTGAGCTTCCCACACTTTGATCAGCTCTCATGATACCAAACATCGAGGCAATCTAAAGGAAATGCACACGATAAAGTCTTGTGGGCTTTAATTTACATAAATAGGTAGTATCAAAGAAAATATCATTTAAAGGTATACTGTAAAATCATATATTTTCGTGGAACTAAGAATTCGTGGGACTTGAATTCATGGACATACTATCATCTCGACTTTTGAATTTGTAGAAATGATTGAAAGTAAAACTCGCATAAAGATAGCTCACGGTAAACCGTTTGTATTTCATTCATATTTGTTGACACTTATTATATGTAGTTACGCTCATACACCAATTGACGTTCTGTTGCTTGATGTTACGAAAGATGACAAAGTATTTGCAATAATGAGAAAACTGTTAAAATATGTTGATCCAATAAAAAAAGAAAAAGACCTTGTGATGAAAGCAGGACCAGGTTATGCTTAGATAGACTGTCTCAAAAGAATATGGGAAAGATATATTTTTATTTAAGTATCAAAGTCATTAACGTTTGTGTATAAGATGAAAATAGCTGTATTTTAATAATTATGTGTTTATTGTCAGAACATCATTTTAGTTGATGCATGCCCGCACGTTCCCATAGTAGATATTATATGGTTTGAAATATGTTGACTTTGGATGAATCGTGTATAGAGCTGTAACAGCAAGTCAAATGACTTGTGACGGTACACTTAACAAAAACATGTATCTAATACATCAGATGATAAGTACCTCAAAAGAAAAGGCGATGATGTAAATTGTCAGAATATGGGGGCATTTTTAGATTTTGACTGATATTTATGACACTTACACTACTACATGCTAACGAGACTGCGTTGTACTGTGTACCATATACTTTAAGCTGGCAGTGAAACGTTTACTGTATAAAGACAGTAGATAAATCAGTGACATTATATGGTTATAACAAAAATCTTTTTTGATATTGAAACTGCAAGATAAATAACAAACACATTTAATTGTAAACAACGTAGATAGCAATACTATATAACAAATTAGAGATGTCGTGATTTTTTCTACTTTCGAGAATGAAATTAAATCGGGTAAAAAGACACATTGAATGGATATCCGACAAATCGAGAAATTACCAACATGGCAACATAATCATAATGTATACTCAAATTCCATACAACTGGGCAAAATATGAACGAAAGAAAGAGTTACACGGAGATTCCTGAAAAAGAGTACGAGGAGAATAAAACAAATTGCTTCCAAAGTTTATCCAGTTCATGAAATTTCATCCTCGAAATATAACAGTTTAAGTCAACTAATGATCTGTACAGAGATCTTTAGTTATCGTAAACTCTGAAAGTTTGAGGATGATGACACCCGAGAAAACACATCCTGTAAGATTATATTTTCATCATCAAAAGCAATCGTTACAATATTCTTTAGTTTCTTTGAGATTCAGCAAGCCCTATGCTAATTGTCAGATAAAATGACCAAAACAAATATTTGTGGAAAAGAATTAATAAACATCCGAGTTACTTATACAATATAAGCATCAATATTGAAACAAGACTTGTCATACACCCCTCACTTTTCCAGTAAGGACTGAGAAGACATTGAAAAGTCCCAGATACATAAATTCAGCAACAGTTAAATAGCCTTTCAGCATATCCTTAATAAAAGTTTTGTTCCAATGTGTCTTTTGTATAATCCTCTATAGCGTTACGAATATTGACGATGTCTTCATATCCTTTTCCGCCAAATAATTGGAAACGACATTTTATCAGAAGATCCTAATTTCTCTTATTTTAGTTATAAGGGAGATGTATAGTTGTTTCTAAGCGTTTTGTCTAAAATGACTCTTAAGTAAAGTTTTCTTCTCGAACCTTATAAACTGAAGCAAATATTAAGCAATGTGTTTCTACAATAATAGCGGACGCAATATGTCTGGCGTGATTCAAAATTTATTCCATCAGGAAGATGTTTACATAAAAAATACACACAAAATCGTTTTCTGGTTTAAATCATACGGTTATCTATGATTAATGAAACAATACTTTTTGTGAATATTCGGTTTCAAAAATGTGTTCATTTAACAACAATCCTTATTATAATTAAACCAACGTGTTATTTTAATGTTAAATGTAAGATTTCCTATGGTTAAAACTAAGTAAACAAGATTAAATTAGTTTATATCGGAATGGTGGGAATCAGATTTCGTTAAAACGTCATACTGGTTTGACGGTTTCGTTTTTGTCGTTCCGGAAGATGCACGCAACCAAGCTAAATGTTTTCATGTTTTGTGTAAACGTGCTGCTTTTTTAATGTACAGGTAAGTCACTGCTACAGGATGGTGACAGTTATTAAGAAACCAAACTTTACCTGGATAATTAAATTGGTAATTAATTGCCAGAGACCAAGTGTTTTGTGTACGATGGATCACCGATACGTCGTAATGAGCCATGTGTTACACATATGTGACTTTCTACTTTGTGTATGTATTAGCCGTTTTCGTGCCGATGTTTTGACAAAAAATAATTTCAATACAACGAATGATTTTTCCCTTGCTTTCCAATTGAAGGGACTGCAAAATCGTTTCAACTCAACCGAAATTGCAACTCAATGAAATTCGAGTCATCCGAAATAAGATTACAAAGATACAGAAGAAAAAAAAATCGGGACTTAAAAATTATTTCGAGACAACGAGTATTAACTTTATATAGAAAAATGTTCCAAACACGATTGTTAAACACTATCGCTTTCATACAGATATAATGTAAAAGGTAGTATCAATTAGTAGATTTCAAGATAACCACAAGGTTTTGTCCTTATTATTCTATATATTCTGTTATTTTTTTTTCAAAGAACCTACCATCTTTAGAATTCGTGAGCCTTCAGACTTGACCATAAATATGTCTCTTCTTCAAAAACAAGGTGCACTTCAATGAGGTGGACAAACAGATCACAGCATAATGGTATGGATCACTTATAAGACGCAGTTAAAATTTTGCCCTTATGCCAACTTACGGTGACTCAGTAACCAGCTGCCACATCACATGAGAAGCGATACCGTCTACATCACTGCAGTTGTATTGACGGATGAAATGTTGCGAATGTTTTCTACATGAACTCTTTAAAGGATTGTCTGTCTCAAAGATATAATTCTGGGAAAAGAGTTTTGACAGAACATTGGTATGTATCTATGCAATTTATATTCAAATTAAGAATAAACCTAACTTGGGAACATCATATTAAAATGATAATTGAATATAATACACCTTAATAAACAGTTGTATTTTATATGCGTTATATACTTCAAGGGCACTTTATTGATATAAGCTCATGTAAATCGATCGTCAGTTTCTTCAGATGTGAATATGCATGTACATTGCATTGAATTGCTTATTCAATTATCCGATGTTGCTACTTTCTGCCTATATACTGAACGGTATTAGGTTGCTTTTGTACTGCTTATGTGCCTATATAAATGCTGTATTGAAACATTGTATGTTCCACATTGTGGTTCGACACTCAGTATCCATAGCGGTTAGTTTTCCTCAGGAAGCTGGCATGGTTGTGTCCTCGGTCAAGACACCTAACCCTTATTATTCAGTGTAGTATGCGGCGGGTCTTCCGTGCGTTGTTTAGAGATATAGCCACCAGCTACATAAAGGAGTCTTCATCTTAAAATGGCACTGGCTGTTCACGTGGCGATCGACCAAACAGCATGTTCCACATTATATGTGTCGTTGATTATGTGGACCCGTACAAAGTCTGGACATCTTTTCTTAGGTTCACGACAAACAAGTCCTTTACACCATCGTCAGTTGTTTCAAGTCTGACGGAGGATATGGGAACAAGTTTGACGGATCAGTTCAGGGAGCAGCTCCATAGATGGATAGACGTCAACCATCGCATGCGCTTCATTCTACTGTTTAAAGTAAATATTCAACACATATTTGAAGTATTTAATGTATGTAAGCATAAATCATAGAACACAGGTAGACATCGCTGACTACACAAAAGATTATAGTCCATGTGAGTTGATAAAACACGACTTGTTATTGGCTTTATCATTTTCATCTCTTAAATGAAATTATCTCTGAATTACACTATTGAATATATATTTGTTAATTGTATGTGGTTAATCAATTAACTAAATTGTAACTAGGCTTCACGTGACGGCTGTGTGGCCACCACCTTTCACACTTTCTGTAACAACAAGGGACCTACCATAACCATCTTGTACAACACTAACGGCTCGGTGTTCGGAGGGTATACCTCCACAAGTTGGCATTCCAACAACACCTACTCAGCAGACGACAAGGCATTCCTTTTTCGACTTAGACACAATGGGAACTGCCAGCCACAAAAATTCTCCAAAATGCCTAGCGCTGAAAGTGCTATTTATGGGCATGCTAATTATGGACCAACGTTTGGAGGAAGCAATGGACATGATCTTAGAACATTTACCGGCATTATCAATAAAAATGGTAACTTCTTTCCATTAAATGGTACTACAAGCCTAGGTAGTTACTACGATATGCAGGGACAAAGTTATAACTCTGTGATGAACGGACACATGCAGGTATTGGATTTGGAGGTCTACGGTGTGGAAGGTAATTTTTCACAGTCAATTCGAATGATATTTTACATAATTTCGAGTTCTCCTTGTACAATTATTAGTAATAAAGAACAAATAAAGATTAATCGAAGATGCTCAGATACATAGACTTTTTTTAACGTTTCTCTGATGTTCTTATGCTGTTTTCGTTCTTTATCAAACTATGAACTGTTTAATACAAAATTACAGAGTTGAAGATGCTACAGAGACCCTGGGTGCGAAATGTTGAATGGAATGCCAGAGTATGTATTGAGCTACTGGTATCAACATATCTATATATACATGTATGTTTGGCTTAATGGAAAAATATTATAATTTGTAATTTTTCTTTTGTATAAAATTTGCATATAGAGCCAATTTAATCGGGAAAATGTAATTAGAATTGGGAAAGAACAATTGGATTTTTTTTTCTGACATGATAATTATCAGTGTGAAAGATGTATCGTTAAACAATATTTGATTTATGCCCAGTTTATGAAGGAGCTGAAGGAGTCCATTGAAACATATAAACCCCTGCCTGGACTAGGTCTACAACAAACCAGAATATTGATGGTAGGGCAGGTCGGTTCGGGAAAATCAAGTTTCTTCAATACCATCAACTCCATTTTCCGGGGACACATAAGTGGTCAGGCAAACGCCGGAAGTGCTGAACATAGCCTCACCACAACAGTAAGTTTCAATTGTCGTTAAGTAAAATTCGACTAATCTGCAAAATTGTTGAGTCATAACAGGGAATACATCTAATATATGAAGAGGGACATGAACGTATTACAGTGCTTTTTGGTCATCAAATATCATCATGTGATTGGTTATGATGTTAATGTTTTATAATTGTTTTGTTTTCTAGTACCGTATGTATCAAGTACGGGACGGGTACGCAGGAAGACCTCTCAACTTCCGACTGTGTGACACACGCGGTTTAGAAGAGGAACAGGGGTTGGATGATCACGAGATATGTTATCTTTTAGATGGGCATGTTCCAGACAGATTTCAGGTGAGAAGTATAAATCTTTCCGTCCTTATCCACAGAAGAATGTTGTGATAACGAAAAGTATATCAATTGCACTTTCACTATCGCTTTAAATATTTCACCTCAAAGTTTTGCCCTTTGATTATGAATACGTTATTTTGTTTGCTAGATTATTTTTGCTTCAACACACAATTTCGATTGTCTAAATCAATATGGTTAATTTAGAGTCTACCAAGATATGCCAAAAACAGTGCACTATATCAAACATAATGTCTCTTTTATTACTACAGTTTAACCCAGCCGTACCTTTATCTCCAGAGGTCATGGGTTTCGTTAAGGGCCCAGGTTTAGGAGACCGAATCCATTGTGTTGCATTTGTGGTTGACAGTAGCACGGTTGACGTTATTTCCGAGAAGGTTCTTGAGAGAATAAAGAACATGCAAACAAAAATGAATCAACGATGTAAGTGTTTTCGTCTTACGATGACGTAATGTATTTGTATTTCCTGCCTTTCGCTGTAGCTGGTAAAATTATCTTCAAAGAATTTTTGATAGAAAACAATCCATACTTTTATAATACTTTATCATATCATGATATTAATAACTTTCTACGTTTTGTATTACAATTTACCCTTAAAATATTTAATCCCCAATAAATGGCATTTTTCAGATCACTAACGCCTAGTTATTCTTCAAAATATCTTACCATCATGTAAGTTAGCAGGATTATCGCCATTTTATATTCTAAACAGTTCTACATATCACTTTGTACGGTTGTGTTTCCCCTACAGCCATTCCACAAGTGGTATTACTGACCAAGATCGATCGGATTTGTGAGTTAGTGACTGACGAAATAAGTGATGTGTTCGTTAGTCCCACTGTCAAGGAATGTGTGGACAGGGTTGCTATGGTGATGGGACTACCGAGGTCACACATACTTCCGATCAAAAACTATGAATGTGAAGTGGAGCTGGACCAGAACGTTAACATTTTGTCCCTCCTTTGTCTCCGACAGGTCCTTCATTTCTCTGACGACTACCTGTATAATCAGCTGGACCAAATAGAGACTGAAAAAGCAGCTCTAACACAAATGAAAGAGTGAACATGTATGTTGGCAAATAGTTGAATTCGCTTTATGTTAGAATTATATTGAACCAAATAAATAAACAGATGTAGTCGTATGATTGCTACATAGTTTGTAACATTTCAAGAAATCGTACCTCTCATACCAATTGTTATTGTAGGTTTAGCAACAATCCATCACAAAGATAGGGTGAATTTTACAACACCAGTTGAAAAAAACAAATATTGAAAATATTTCCTTGGTCCCAACTTTAAAGAGATAATGCCATATCAAGGGCATGATTCTGTTGTCATCAAGTTATTCATTCATTTTCCCCGTTTCTTACCTCTGAACGATTTTCCAAAACCAGGTTATGAACCAATTTACTGAACAATTTCCTATCGTCGTGTGTAGGCGTTTGAGCTTTTGATTTGATCTGCACGGACAAAACATCAAAACCTATGTAGCATTATAGATTAGTTGCAAGAGTGACATCTGTATTGTAGCATTTACTTGTTTTGAGATCACAATAAATCTATTACAATCGGTGGTTTTAGAATATAAGATACTTGCAAGACACAGTTTCCCTAATACCTAATCAAAATATGCCAGTTGTCAGAAGTCAAAATGTTGAAAGCCATTCTGCATTGTCAAACACTGCAATATTACATTTTGTTATATATCCGAGATCTTGTTTCTTTTATTTTAAATCTTTTAGGTATTAAGATGTGTGTCATATATAGTTTAATAAGGTTTAACAATATAATAATGAAATGAAGCGTTAAAACACAGATTTTACTAGAGAATGCTCATTTGTACATTCATCATTTACACTGTTTAGGTTAGATGTTTCATCAGTGGAGCATGAGTTAGGAGGAGAAGGAAATTCTCCGATATACTTCTCACATAGTTGGTACTGAAGCCCGAGGCTTCACCACATACCAATCCAAATGTGCAACAAATGAAAATTTTGTTTATATCCAGTCATCTATTAAAATTTTACATATCGAGTCACTCATCACAACTTTACATAACCAACAACCTATCAATAATTAACATATCCAGTAACCAACCAAAACTTTACATATCCAGTCACCAACCAAAATTTCATGTATCTAGTCACCAACATAAACCGTACAATACAAGTCATCAACCAAAACTTTACATATCCAGTTATCATCCAAAACTTTACATTTCCTGTCACCAACCACAACTTTACATATCAGGTAACCAACCAAAACATTACATATCCAGTTACCAACCAAAACTTTACATTTCCAGTCACCAACCAAAACCTTAATTATCCAGTCACCAACCAAAACTTAACATTTCCAGTTAACAACCAAAACTTTACATATCTAGTAACCAACCAAAACATTGCCTATCCAGTCACTAACTAAAACTTTACATATCCAGTTACCCAACAAAATTTCATATATCCAGTCACCAACATCAACCTTACAATACCAGTCACCAAATAAAAACTTTACATAGCCAGTCACCAACCAAAACTTTACACATCCAGTTATTCAACAAAACTTCATATATCCAGTCACCAACCAAAACCTTACAATATCAGTCACCAACCAAAACCTTAAATATCCAGTCACCAACCAAAATATTAAATATCCAGTCACCAACCAAATTTTACATTTCCAGTTGATAACCAAAACTTTACATATCCAGTCACCAACCAAAACTTTACAATACCAGTCACCAACCAAAACCTTAAATATCCAGTTACCAACCAAAACTTTACATTTCCAGTCACCAACCAAAACCTTAATTATCCAGTCACCAACCAAAACTTAACATTTCCAGTTAACAACCAAAACTTTACATATCTAGTAACCAACCAAAACATTGCCTATCCAGTCACTAACTAAAACTTTACATATCCAGTTACCCAACAAAATTTCATATATCCAGTCACAAACATCAACCTTACAATACCAGTCACCAAATAAAAACTTTACATAGCCAGTCACCAACCAAAACTTTACACATCCAGTTATTCAACAAAACTTCATATATCCAGTCACCAACCAAAACCTTACAATATCAGTCACCAACCAAAACCTTAAATATCCAGTCACCAACCAAAATATTAAATATCCAGTCACCAACCAAATTTTACATTTCCAGTTGATAACCAAAACTTTACATATCCAGTCACCAACCAAAACTTTACAATACCAGTCACCAACCAAAACCTTAAATATCCAGTCACCAACCAAAAATACACATTTTCAGTCACCAACCAAAACATTGCATATCCAGTCACTAACTAAAACTTTACATATCCAGTTACCCAACAAAATGTCATATATCCAGTCACCAACATCAACCTTACAATACCAGTCACCAAGCAAAACCTTACAATACCAGTCACCAACTAAAAACTTAAAATTCCCAGTCACGAACCAAAACTTTACATTTCCAGTCACCAATCAAAACTTTACATAGCCAGTCAACAACCAAAACTTTACACATCCAGTTATTCAACAAAACTTCATATATCCAGTCACCAACCAAAACCTTACAATACCAGTCACCAACCAAAACCTTAAATATCCAGTCACCAACCAAAATATTAAATATCCAGTCACCAACCAAAACTTTACATTTCCAGTTGATAACCAAAACTTTACATATCCAGTCACCAACCAAAACTTTACAATACCAGTCACCAACCAAAACCTTAAATATCCAGTCACCAACCAAAAATACACATTTTCAGTCACCAACCAAAACATTATATAGCCAGTCACCAACTAAAACATTACCTATCCAGTCACCCGACAAAACTGCATATATCCAGTCAACAACCAAAATTTTTCATTTCCAGTCACAAACCAAATCATTACATATCCAGTTACCAAGCAAAACTTTACATATCCTGTCACCCAACAAAACTTCATATATCGAGTTACCGACCTAAACCTGACAGTACCAGCCACCAATCAAAACCTTACAATACCAATCAACAACCAAAACTTTACATATTCAGTAACCAACCAAAATTTTACATTTCCAGTTACCAACCAAAACGTTACATTTCCAGTCACCAATCGCAACTTTACATTTCCAGTTACAAAACAAAACTTAACATATCCAGCCTCCAACAAAAAACATTATATAGCCAGTCACCAACTAAAACATTACATATCTAGTAACCAACCAAAACATTGCATATCCAGTCACTAACTAAAACTTTACATATCTAGTTACCCGACAAAATTTCATATATCCAGTCACCAACATCAACCTTACAATACCAGTCACCAACCAAAACTTTGCATATCTAGTAACCAACCAAAACATTGCATATCCAGTCACTAACTAAAACTTTACATATCTAGTTACCCGACAAAATTTCATATATCCAGTCCCCAACATCAACCTTACAATACCAGTCACCAACCAAAACCTTACAATACCAGTCACCAACTAAAAACTTAAAATTCCCAGTCACGAATCAAAACTTTACATTTCCAGTCACCAATCAAAATTTTACATAACCAGTCACCAACCAAAACTTTACACATCCAGTTATTCAACAAAACTTCATATATCCAGTCACCAACCAAAACCTTACAATACCAGTCACCAACCAAAACCTTAAATATCCAGTCACCAACCAAAACTACACATTTTCAGTCACCAACCAAAACATTATATAGCCAATCACCAAATAAAACATTACATATCCAGTCACCCGAGAAAACTTCATATATTTAGTCAACAACCAAAACTTTAAATTTCCAGACAACAACCAAAACTTTAAAAATTTAGTAACCAACCAAAACTTTGCATTTCCAGTCATCAACCAAAACCTTAAATATCCAGTCACCAATCAAAACTTTACATTTCCAGCTAACAACCAAAACTTTAGATTTCCAGTAACCAACCAAAACATAACATTTCCTGTCACCAACCACAACTTTACATATCAGGTAACCAACCAAAACATTACATATCCAGTTACCCAACAAAATTTCATATATCCAGTCACCAACCAAAACCTTACAATACCAGTCACCAACCAAACCCTTACAATACCAGTCACCAACCAAAACATTATATAGCCAGTCACCAACTAAAACATTACATTCCCAGTCACCAATCACAACTTTGTATTTCCAGTTACAAAACAAAACTTTACATATCCAGTCTCCAACATCAACCTTACAATAGCAGTCAACAACCAAAACTTTACATATCCAGTCACAAACCAAAACTTTACATTTCCAGTCACCAACCAAAACATAACATTTCCTGTCACCAACCACAACTTTACATATCAGGTAACCAACCAAAACATTACATATCCAGTTACCCAACAAAATTTCATATATCCAGTCACCAACCAAAACCTTACAATACCAGTCACCAACCAAAACCTTACAATACCAGTCAACAACCAAAACATTATATAGTCAGTCACCAACTAAAACATTACATTCCCAGTCACCAATCACAACTTTGCATTTCCAGTTACAAAACAAAACTTTACATATCCAGTATCCAACATCAACCTTACAATACCAGTCAACAACCAAAACTTTACATATTCAGTCACAAACCAAAACTTTACATTTCCAGTCACCAACCAAAACTTTACATTTCCAGTTACCAACCAAAACGTCACATTTCTAGTCAACAACCAAAACCTTTAATATCCAGTCACCAACCAAAACTTTACATTTTCAGTCACCAACCAAAACTTTACATTTCCAGTTACCAAACAAAATTTTATATATCCAGTCACTCAACAAAATCAGTCAACAACCTAAACCTTACAATACCAGTAACCAACCAAAACCTTACAATACCAGTCACGAACCAAAACTTTACATTTCCAGTTACCAACCAAAACTTTACATTTCCAGTTACCAACCAAAATATTACATATCCAGTTACGAACCAAAACCTTATTTTTCCAGTCACCAACCAAAACTTTACATATCCAATCACCCAACTAAATTTCATATATCCAGTCACCAAATTAAACCTTATCATACTAGTTACCTGCCAAA